ACTTTTTACTTTTTTTTTTTTTTTTTTATAAAACTTTGCATTGAAGAAAAGTAGATTTTTGTTTGTATATGCTGTCAATTATAGTTAAATATATATATTGCTTATCAGTTTTTACTCAAATATAGTAAAAATCGGTATCGGCAGATCACACTAACAAAAAAATCGGAAATCGGAGTCTGCTAAGAAAATTGCAATCGGTGCATCTCTAGTCAAAACGTTGCAAAAGGTCAAAGTTTTAGGTCGACGCATATAGCAGAGAATTGCTTGACATTAAAAAGAGTTAAGTGCAATAAGTTGCAGAAAACAACTCTTTGCTGTCCTGTTTTTTAATTTCTGTAATATTTCTTAACTGAATAAAAACTTACTTAACCTGAAAAATTTAGTTTCATAGCTCTTTTTATTCTATTGCATTTATTTGTGCTGTTGTTTGCCATTTTTATTTGTTCTTATTTTATTACTGACTTTTTACTTGTGTTTTTTTTTTTTTATAAAACTTTGCATTGAAGAAAAGTAGATTTTTGTTTGTATATGCTGTCAATTATAGTTAAATATATATATTGCTTATCAGTTTTTACTCAAATATAGTAAAAATCGGTATCGGCAGATCACACTAACAAAAAAAATCGGAAATCGGAGTCTGCCAAGAAAATTGCAATCGGTGCATCTCTAGTCAAAACGTTGCAAAAGGTCAAAGTTTTAGGTTGACGCATATAGCAGAGAATTGCTTGACATTAAAAAGAGTTAAGTGCAATAAGTTGCAGAAAACAACTCTTTGCTGTCCTGTTTTTGCTGTCTGACTCACACCTGAATCGCGTGCACGATCTTGCACAGCGTCCCTTCCGTTCTGCCGCACACGTGCAAAGTGTGCTCACACAGACAGAGACGCGTTTCCGACAGCGCGCGAACACCGAGTTGATTCGTCTTTCACATCTTCGTCCTTATCATAAGGTTTTTTTAATTGATTACCACATATGGTTCAATATTGTGATCTAGAAGATTGTGTTTCACACCATTTCCATTTCCCTGCAAAAGGAATTTATCTGCACCTGTCTTTGTTGATGCAGTTCATGGGCTTTTTTCTCAAGATTTTATCCGCAGGATTACACAATCGTGCTGGTTTTTCAAAGAGCTTTAAACACACCTGCTGTCATGTTTGACTGAATTCCCCTCTTGTTCTTTGTCATTCTTTCTCACTCACACATTTTCTTTTAGTGTTAATTTCACACCTGAGGCAAGGCCATTTGTGACCCCAGAACCTGTGCATCTCTGGAGGGGATTTGAATTCTTCAGGGTTCAGGTCATAACATGACGTTTCCAGCAATATTGAAGTATTTCTCTGTAAAGTGAGTGACGTGCATTGTTATAGTTCCTTCCTGTTGCCTCTGTAGGTCTTAACATACATCTGAGGAGCCATTCATGATGTGAAGGTGACCTAGTTCATGTTAATCCAGAGTGGAGACATTTCTGATGTCATCCCCAAAGCATGTTGGTGTTCCCAGGGCCTCAAAATCAGGAACATGCTAAGCTTGTTTGGAACGTAGTCAACCTGGTCCCAATAATCATGTTGAAGTAAAGTTCAGGCTCGCTTGAAGCTGCAATTAATGAGCGATATTATAAACATGCCCCAAAACAAGATCAGATGTACGTTTGGGCTCAAGAAAAAATAAATCCTCTACTTTTTCATAATGCTTCTAGACGTTTCCCTCCTTCTCATCCTTTTTCACTGGCTGGGTGGTCTGCCCTGAGAAAAAAAACATGGTTATTTTCAACTGTAATACAATTACAATGGTTTGAAAATATTCAACTCATGTCTGTCTCGTGAATTGCAAACCATTGTTAAATTGGAAGTTTTATGAATGTTTTGCTGAATGAACTAATGTGTGCAAGTTATCATCTGGCTCACTCACTGAAATCCACATCATTACATTCAGTAAAATTTGAACTAGAAAATTAGTTTTTTGAAATGTATGGCTATATAATTAAATTCTAATAAAATACATTTAAATTTGAATTAAAAAAGTCTAAATATTGAACTTAATTGCTTTAAAAACTTAATTCAGGCAAGATGTTTAATGTGATTTAAATCATTTTTAGTCTCTGTATGGTGAAATTCGATAATCAGTGAAACTCAGCAAGTGAAATATTAACTACGAGTTAAACAGAAAGCAGCAAAAAATGGCAAAAAACACTTACACTATGCATGTAAGATTAAGTCCATAAAGTGCAGGAAGTATGTTTGATTATTAAATCAAGTTTTGTTTTTGCATTTCCCTGTGTATTTTGGTTCAGTTTTTTCGATAATATAATCTGTATATGTTCCATGAAGAATATAAATAAAAAAAAAAGTTAAATGAATCAATTAAATATATCATGATTAAATACTGTGCTAAGTGGTGCTCCACAGTCTCCTGTGGTGTTTTCTGAAGGCCTTCATTGTGATGCTGAACCGAAAGCCTCACACAATTGTTCCACTTCTGCTGCTAATGGCTCCTTGCAACAGTTACACTCAGTAGACAACCACCAAGTCTGCAAAAGTTTTTCTGCCCTCCTCCCCACTCCCTCTTTCCCTCCTTCATGGATGGTAAATAAGGATTTTACTGTGTTCTGGTTGGGGGACTTGGAATAATGACTCAAGCCTGGTTAGGCACATACAATGTGGTCTGAACCGCTGCAGGTCTGCCAGAAGAGAAAGAGAGAGGGGCGATCAGAAGGAAACATACAGAAAAAAGGAAAGTATGATAGAAAGAGGGAGAAATGAGAGAAAGATGGTGCAGGGACGGAAAGGCGGAGCGGCTTAGAGAGTCAGTCAGTGGAGCCGTGGAAGTGGACAGAAAGTGGGAGGGTGAACTCGGTGCGAGGAAGGCCATTTGAGGATAGAGTCAAACATACGGGCGGGACGGGAGACCATGTAACGATGCAGCAAGAGAAAGAGGGTGCTGAAAAAACCAACTGAGACAAGTATGGGAGGTTTGTGAAACTGCTGCGTTGGGCTGTTAGTTGTGGGGAGATGCCAGGCCCTGAGCGGGATCACCCGGCACGGCAGTATAATTAGAGGGGATAAAGATCAGATGAGTGGATTGATTCCATTTTCTCAAAGCTGTTATTATGGAGGCAGGCTGAAATCCAATCCCAGCGACATTAGTGCTGCCACCGCTGTGACGTGCAGCGTCCATCAATCCCTAAGCCTTCGGAATTCCATCCAGTCACCCTTCATCCGCTACCCGTAGTTATGCCGAACTACTTTAAGCACATCCAACATCCCATAAGCAGGGCTCAGTCCGTGCTTCTCCTTCATGGTTAAACATACACTACCCTTCAAAAGTTTAGGGTCAGTCAGATTTTACTTTTTGAAAGAATTGAATACTTCTATTCTGCAAGGACTTATAAAACTGATTTTATGAAAGAATCCTGAAAATTGTTTTACAGTTTCTGCAGAAATATTAAGCAGCGCAACTGTTTTCAACATTGATAATAGTAAGAAATGTTTCTTGAGCACTTAGAATTAGAATTATGATGATTTCTGAAGGATCATGTGACGCTGAAGACTGAAGTAACGTTGCTGAAAATTCAGCTTTGCCATGGCAGGAATAAATTACATATTAAAATATATTAAAATAGAAAATAATTATTTTAAATTGTAATAGTATTTCATAATAGTATTTTTGATCAAACACATGCAGCATTAGTGAGTTCAATTAAATTCCATTGTGCTTCATCAGACTGTATTTGATGCTGTAAACCCCTAAGGCCACATCAATAAAATTGTTTATTTTTTCCCATAGTGGCAAAGACCAAGTGCAGTGGACCAACTTTGATCCGATGGGATTCATTGCTGAGCTGAAGATGCTGAAGTATCCGGTGGACAGCTGGGAGGAGATGCTGGTCAAAGCAGAGGTGGGTCATGGCTATATGGACCGCCCCTGCCTGAATCCCGCGGACCCCGACTGCCCGTTGTCAGCTCCCAACAAGAACATGACACAGGTGAGTTCTGCATACAAGGGATGACATAGAGCAATAGCTGAAAATAATTTGCGATTATTTGTTATTCTGTGTTGGGTATCTGTTTTCTGTTTTCCCAATCATAGGCTACAGACAAAGATTCACTAATTAAAGCAATGTTGTTTTGCAATTTGAGCATGTCTCAGATTTATGATCTGTCATATTCTTAAGCCTTTTGACGTGGCTCGTGTTCTGACTGGTGGCTGCTATGGGCTTTCCAAAAAGTACATGCAATGGCAGGAGGAGCTTATCGTAGGTGGGATCAAGAAGAACGACAGTGGCAGACTTCTGAGGTAAGAGACAACTTTGGGGTTTTAACGCTGACGGCATTTAGAGAAATTGATTTATCTTAAAGGGGTCTTTGTTTTGGGGGTGTACTAGAACATGCTCTCATGCTTTGGTGGTTTGAAAAACGCATTATTTTTCATATAATGCTCAGTCTCAAACAGCTTGTGAGCCACAAATACCAAAATGAGTGGCTAACTGCGCTAAAACGTTCAAATACATAAAACATTGTCAAAATGCCCGTTTTGGTGAGTATCCAGTTAAACACAGTCAATTTTGGAACGTTAAATAGTTGAGAAAGAGAACGCGTGTTGTGTAACAGTATATTGGGTTCGTGGATAAAACCTTAAAGGGACCGCAGTCCAATATTTATGCTGCTGTCTGTCATGTTAATCAAAGAACAAAAGACAAAGAAAATAATTTTCTGCTCTTGACTGAATACGTTTTATAACTTTAATGGTAAGCATTAATCTGTATTTAATTTTTACAATGAAGACTACAGAAATTAAAGTAATCAAATGTAAAATAACACTGGATGTGTTATTTTACATTTGATTACTTTAATTTCTGTAATATTTCTTAACTGAATAAAAACTTACTTAACCTGAAAAATTTAGTTTCATAGCTCTTTTTATTCTATTGCATTTATTTGTGCTGTTGTTTGCCATTTTTATTTGTTCTTATTTTATTACTGACTTTTTACTTGTGTTTTTTTTTTTTTTATAAAACTTTGCATTGAAGAAAAGTAGATTTTTGTTTGTATATGCTGTCAATTATAGTTAAATATATATATTGCTTATCAGTTTTTACTCAAATATAGTAAAAATCGGTATCGGCAGATCACACTAACAAAAAAATCGGAAATCGGAGTCTGCTAAGAAAATTGCAATCGGTGCATCTCTAGTCAAAACGTTGCAAAAGGTCAAAGTTTTAGGTTGACGCATATAGCAGAGAATTGCTTGACATTAAAAAGAGTTAAGTGCAATAAGTTGCAGAAAACAACTCTTTGCCGTCTTGTCTTGCTGTCTGACTCACACCTGAATCGCGTGCACGATCTTGCACAGCGTCCCTTCCGTTCTGCCGCACACGTGCAAAGTGTGCTCACACAGACAGAGACGCGTTTCCGACAGCGCGCGAACACCGAGTTGATTCGTCTTTCACATCTTCGTCCTTATCATAAGGTTTTTTTAATTGATTACCACATATGGTTCAATATTGTGATCTAGAAGATTGTGTTTCACACCATTTCCATTTCCCTGCAAAAGGAATTTATCTGCACCTGTCTTTGTTGATGCAGTTCATGGGCTTTTTTCTCAAGATTTTATCCGCAGGATTACACAATCGTGCTGGTTTTTCAAAGAGCTTTAAACACACCTGCTGTCATGTTTGACTGAATTCACCTCTTGTTCTTTGTCATTCTTTCTCACTCACACATTTTCTTTTAGTGTTAATTTCACACCTGAGGCAAGGCCATTTGTGACCCCAGAACCTGTGCATCTCTGGAGGGGATTTGAATTCTTCAGGGTTCAGGTCATAACATGACGTTTCCAGCAATATTGAAGTATTTCTCTGTAAAGTGAGTGACGTGCATTGTTATAGTTCCTTCCTGTTGCCTCTGTAGGTCTTAACATACATCTGAGGAGCCATTCATGATGTGAAGGTGACCTAGTTCATGTTAATCCAGAGTGGAGACATTTCTGATGTCATCCCCAAAGCATGTTGGTGTTCCCAGGGCCTCAAAATCAGGAACATGCTAAGCTTGTTTGGAACGTAGTCAACCTGGTCCCAATAATCATGTTGAAGTAAAGTTCAGGCTCGCTTGAAGCTGCAATTAATGAGCGATATTATAAACATGCCCCAAAACAAGATCAGATGTACGTTTGGGCTCAAGAAAAAATAAATCCTCTACTTTTTCATAATGCTTCTAGACGTTTCCCTCCTTCTCATCCTTTTTCACTGGCTGGGTGGTCTGCCCTGAGAAAAAAAACATGGTTATTTTCAACTGTAATACAATTACAATGGTTTGAAAATATTCAACTCATGTCTGTCTCGTGAATTGCAAACCATTGTTAAATTGGATTATAGCTTATAACTTGTTACAGATTGTTTTTCCCCCCCCCCCCGGATTGCTTTCTCACTACAACCGAACCGCTCCAGAGTTCGTTTTCAATCGAGCCGAGACCACCTCGTTCAGGCGATCTCGGACCGATTGTTTTGGCACAGATCTGAGCGCGATTGTCGTGTTCACATATGCCCAAACGAACGGGGGAAACAGGCCAGGTGTGAAAGCACCCTAAGTCTTGTTGCCACTCACAACTAGGTGGGAGAGAACTTGGGTTTAAAACCGGTAAGTTCTTTGAAAAACACTGGAAATCACTAACATGATTCTGACTTAATTTTTCTTTGTTCATGTGGTACAAAAGTAGAAAGCACACTCTTAAAGTTGGTGCCTTGTAGTTGAGGGTCACTTTTTGTTCTATTTGGTTCGTTCTATTGAAGAATATTTTTGAAATGTCTCTTGTTACAGCTCGTTTTGCTTGTAGGTTTCAGACTTTGATTCTTTCCCCTAAATAATACAGTTTAAGGGGGATCATGCGAGTGCCATTATGTTTAACCTTTGTTACACACTTTCTGAAATGTACTGAAAATGTACCTCAATATCCTTATACACTAGCTTTGGAACACATACATTTGAAGGTAAATCAATTTTTATTTTATTTTTTTGCTGGCGCCAATGCAACAACTCATGTAAAGTTTTAAAAACAGGACCACCCCCTTGTAATTCACAAGCAAAGCTTTCACATTTGTGTATATTTTTGGCCTTCAGAATATCTTCTCTGGCAGAATAGTTCAGTGAAATATGGTTGAATATGCCTTCGGTACTTCAAAGTGTGATAGTTGACCACGAATGAACCCTCCTCCCTGCTTCCGCATCTCAGAAGAGCTTCAGAATCATGCAAACTGTCGTCCAAAACACATCACACCAGTAGATGATTTGCTTGATTACGTTACGAGGAATTGACAGATTACCTGTCTGTGACTGTACAATTACCTGGTTCAGAATAACTGTGAAGTCCTTGTGAACAGTGTTGCCCGCTTCTCTAGGGTGCTTGATCCTGGAAATGGAGAAGTCTTCTATTCTCGGAGGTCAGGTAGAGAGCGCATGAAGAATCGACAGCTTTGAGAGTCAGGCTTGGACGGTGTTCAGCAGGACGCTTTGAAAGGCTGCTTTTGTAGCTGTGTGTGCCACACAACGACGCCACTGCCCGAGTGCAATAAAGCAGCCGAGCACATACACACACGTGTGCGCTTGCAGACGCACTTGCGCGCACACTCATAACTCATAGGCCTGAATTTGAAGGCAGGGAAGAAGACTGCAGGTGTTAAAGGGTGTACTGAAAGGCATTTTGAAGTCAAGTTAACAGGACATATGGGAGCCTGTACATGTGTTAGCGTTTCCTTTCATCGAGGCTGGAGGATATGATTGATTATCATGAGACTGTGCTTGACCCTGTGTGACGGCAGTGAAAGTTATGACTGTTTGTCACCGAAGAATTCTAAGTGACTTTTTATCATGCTTCTTTGTTTCTTGTGGGTTTTTCAACTGCTTATTTATGTTAACAAGTGAATACATTTGTAAATAAATAAATTATGCAATCATTATTCCTCACCACATGTGAGTTGTAGCTTGATGAACTGAATGTGATAAGCTAAAAATACAGTTTCCTGCGAAATAATACAGAGAAAATGTCTTTGCATGCAAAAAAAAACACTTTACAACTAGTGTCATCTGGGTTGACAAACGAATGACTCTTACTAGTCGATTCTTTTAACGAATTGAATCAGTTTTATGAATGTTTTGCTGAATGAACTAATGTGTGCAAGTTATCATCTGGCTCACTCACTGAAATCCACATCATTACATTCAGTAAAATTTGAACTAGAAAATTAGTTTTTTGAAATGTATGGCTATATAATTAAATTCTAATAAAATACATTTAAATTTGAATTAAAAAAGTCTAAATATTGAACTTAATTGTATTATGAACATCAAATTGAATTATAACTATAAAAATGTATTACCCAAATAGTATTGTTTTTATTTCTGTAGTTAGGACCATTTTGTTGCATTGTCCATGCATTTTGATTCAGTTGTGGGGGGTTGATAATTTGGTGGTGGACGGAAAAGTGTAAAACAAAAACACACACACACACACACAGCATACAAAACTGTTTCTTTAGTTCCAACACATTAAGCTGTGGAGTTTGAAGCAACATTTAGGCCAAATGTTGCATTTAATTCCCCTTTTCTCCATATTATTTTATGTTTCCTCTTAAATCTGCTTATAAATAAACATACTAAAAGTTTATAGAGCATCATCTGAAAGTCTTCTCTGTCACTTTTCTTCTCCATTTCATAGTGGGCGGCAGGGTGAATCAGGAACTCAAATACACGAGGCAGAAGATCGGAGAGGAGGCCATGTTTAGTCCTCAGCTCATGATACAGACGCCGCGACAGGAAGGTGCTAACATTCTGACTGTAGAGGCACTGAAGCAGCACCTCGACTCTGCCATAAAGGCCAGCAGAGTGCAAATTTACATGTACAACAGGTAACGGCACAACAGCTTCTGAACAGTTATTTCTTTTTGGGTAGTTGACATATAACATGTCATTGGACTTTTTTATCAACAAAAAATATAGGTTAAAATTTGGGAAAGTGTGTATTTTAAGTTCTGTAACTGGTCACTTTGTCTTTTAAGTTTTCTGCTTTAATTGTTATTCACAAAATTATAGTTCAACTAATTTCCACTGTTGTTTTCAGGCAATGGAAATTGGAACATTTATGCTTCAAATCAGGAGAAATTGTTACAGAAACCAATTTAGTGGACCAGGTAAGTAAGAAGGGTTACAATATCTTTTTAGATTGACGTTTTAGTAGAAATTATTAAAATTCAGAGGAGGACCTCTAAGGGCTTGTTACAGTAATAGAGCATGAACTTTTCAGAT